AAGGTTTATGTTGATTACTGACTGAAAAATAACATCCTTGCTGCCTCCTGAATCACTGACTGACAGGGCTGCAAGGCTTTCCCTAGCTGAGGCTTGTTGGCAGTTGACTGATGAGCAAAACCTCTTGGGCAGCCCCTGGTAATCCCAGAGGTCCCCTTCTGGACTGGCAGCTGGGGGGTTCTGCTCTTACAGGGCAGGAGATAAAGGCCTCCTGGCTTGGCAGCAGCTGGAGCTGGTGGTGGCTGCGCCGTGTCCGTTGGCTCACGTCCTGCTTTCTGTCCTGAGCTCATGGGACTTGGCTGTTGTCTTGGTTTCTGTTTCTGGCAGTGGGTCCTTGGTGATATAACCTTGCTCCAGCTTTTGACTGGGCAAGATTGGTTGCACAGCCTATGGCTGGCACTTCAATCCCCTGTCAGCCCACATAGTTACAAGGTTGTAGCAGTAAATCTCTTCTCACTTGGTGTGCAAACCTAATCCGTTTTCTGTCTTTTCAGCTCCTAGCACTATTTGCCTTTCCATATGCAGCTTTTCTTGCCTTTCATGCTGATTTCAGAGTTGATACCTACAAACTGGAGGAAAAGTAAAATTGCAGCTTTTCTTAAGAAAGAAATACAAATTCAGGAAAAGTAAAATTGCAGCTTTTCTTAATAGAGAAATTTAAATTGCTAAATATTCCATGCCTTTTTTTTTTTTTTTTCCTTTGGGATAGTAACTCATTCATCAAAACTGAGCAAAGTAAAACTGTGGAAGTCAGAGAAGGAAGTCCCCAGAATACGCTAGGTACTGGAGTGCTTCCACATATGCTGTGTGAGAGAAAAGGGCAAGATATGCAGTCTCCTGTCATCCTGAGCTGGCAAATGTGCAAAGATCACAGTGGAAAGTTATCACACAGAAAGGAAGAAAGTAGGAGACTTCCCTTTATTTTGAAATACATTGGGTTAAATCTTTGGCACTAACAGATGTGACTTCCAACCTCTCTCTTTGCAATAGCTTCTATTTCTGAGTAACGCATGGCTGATGTAGCAGGCATACCACTCAAAGGAGAAACAGCAGCCTAAAACCATGGTACATGGTAGCAAGCAAGAGTACAGCTTGGCCACATGTAACATTTCTGCCCTGGCCAAGTCCTGTAACAGAGTCATAATGTAAGGCAGGAGAAGAAGAAACACAATCTCTTAAAGTGGCACTGGTTAAACCAGAGTATGGTGTAGTCTCTGTAACAACCTTTTCCCTTGTTACATGGGATTCTTTGCCATCTTCACTGCTGTACTTAAGCCTGTCAAACTTGATAATGCAGGGAAAGCTTGGCTTTAAGAGATAAACCCAGCTATGCTTTTTGGCTCTTTATCTAGCCATCTGTAGGGAATGACAGAACAGATAAGCTGAGAGAGGATTCAACAAAAGATTGCTAGATACAGCTACAAGAAATACAGTTACTTTGGGTAGGAGAAGCTTGGCATCAAATGCTAGGTTGAAGCCATGAGCAGAGAAATTTGGGGGGAGGAAGTTACCTTGAACACAGAAAAAATGAAGGTTTTATATAGTATTCGTGAATAAAAAGGAGTTAAAGCTCTCATGAATTTTTCCTTGTTTCCTGAAATGGGAAAGGGGATGTTGAACTTTGAACTACTTCAAAGGGCATGGATTCACTACTGATTGCAGAGCTGTGCTGGATTTATTTGTCTGTCTATAAAATAACTGATTCTGGAGAGTAATGAAAGCTCGAACACTTTTGTAATGCAGGGTATTAAGTAACAGAATATCTGTGCATCTGTAGTATGATTTAGCAAAGAATGTTCATTTGATGGAAGGTGAAGGATCTGAAATCTTGCTTTAAAACTAATACTTGGTATAAGAATTAAGAGAACTTTGCCTGCATAAAGTACGTTGGAATTTTCATGGGAAATACAATAGAGATTTAAGCCAATTGGCACTGGGTTTGTTATGCTACAGGAAGCACCCACAAGTTAGAAAATTTTAGACAGTATATTTTTTTATCACATTCCACTTGGTGTAACATAAAAATGTATTTTGTCATGTCTAGCAATCTAGTTGGAGTATTCAGAATAGTTGAATGTCAGGCTAACATTCTTCGAGTGTAAAAAAAATAATCAACTCTACCTGAGGATGAAGTCATCTATTTACTAGAGCTAGTCAGTATACTACAGCTTTTAAAGGTAAGCCACAATACCGTGCTTTTCTTATACATTAGTGATACAGAATTATTCAGAATGTCTAGCACATTTTATCTGTCGTGCAAGTTGAACACACAGCAGTACATTTATTTCCCCACTATAATTATTTTTCAGTCTGAATCTCTGGTTCTCTAGTTAACAGCAATGCTGGTTAGTAAAAGGGGGATGAGGACAGTCATGGGTAAAATATGAAAAAAATATGACAGTCATGGGTAAAAAAAAAATTATGAAAAAAACTGTGGAATTTTAATTAAAAATCATTTTCAAGTACAATGACAAATATACCAGATAGCTAGGAAATTTGCAAGTTGTAATAGATCCATGAACTTAATGAATTGGTTTTCTTCCCTTTTGCAGTATCTGCCCTGCAAGCTTTTGGTATTTCAATAAATCGTAGCTGCTCATGAGAGTAGTCTGACACTGGTGCTAATTGAATGCTACAGGATTGTTAGCTTTGATCTGTAATCAGGTTTCCATGGTGATATCACCAGATGAGGCTGTGGCCACTACAACAATTTCTTTGTGCTGATGTGATTCTGAACTGCCTACCTAGATGAGGATGAAATCCCAGCTCTGCTGAAAACCAATGGGAGTTTGATGTTGATTTCAGTGAATTTGATACTGTCTTTATCATGACTGGATTTGGAAGCATGTTCTGGAGTCATATAGGTCCCAAATAAAGCCAGTCTGTAGTCAAGATAATACTTCTGGTTTCAGCTGTTCACTGTGGTGTTTGAAACCAGACAGAATTTGCTGGCATTCAAACCCCATTCCCAGACTGTGTCTCCACATTAAATAAGTTATGCAAGCCATTTCCCTCATAAGTTAAACTCTTAATCTGTACTTACTTGATTTCATTGCATAGAATCCCTTAGAATGGAATGGGACAATATTGCATAAGGGATCATAAAACTACAGGAGATGGTTCCCCTTCAGAGAGCTTACAGCTGGATACAGATGAACTTATGAGAAGGAGTGGGAAAGAATGAGGTAAGGAGAATTGGCAGTGATCAAAGTAAATCATTTGACTGACTACATTGGGTTTGATATTTTGCCATTTTAATAATTGGCATTGATTTTAAGGAGACTTTTGAAGGAAGAAGTGATTTGTTTGTATGTGTTAAGCAGGCAGAAGAAAGTGCTTTTTTGAAATTGAGCGGGCAGAGGGATGGCAAGGTGGGTGAGGGGACAGCAGTGGCAAACCCAAGAGTGATTGTGGTGCTTCTCAAGGTGAAGTTGATAGCAAAAGACTTGTGTGATCAGGAAGGAAGAGATCGTGCAGTAATATAAAGAAAAGGGTTTGAAAGGGCCAAGATAAGATCATCCTGGAGAAAAGAAGGCTCTGGGAAGACCTTATTAGCAGCCTTCCAGTACTGAAAGGGGCCGACAGAGGTCTGGAGAGGGACTTTTTACAAGGGCTGGTAGGGATAGGACAAGGGGGAATGGTTTTAAACTGACAGAGTGGAGATTTAGGTTAGATATTAGAAAGAAATTCTTCACTGTGAGGGTGGTGAGGCACTGGCACAGGTTACCCAGAGAAGCTGTGGCTGCCCCATCCCTGGCAGTGTTCAAGGCCAGGTTGGACGGGGCTTGGAGCAACCTGCCCTAGTGGAAGGTGTCCCTGCCCATGGCAGACAGGTTGGAATCTTTAAGGTCCCTTCCAACCCAAACCATTCTAAGAATCTATGATTAATATGATTATTTTTTTTAACAGTATTCTGAATTGGCCTACATATGGTAAGATTGCATTTGCTAGGACAAGACAAAAGGAAGCTCCTGTAAATACATGAGATGGGTGAAACTCCTGTTAGGGCATAAGGTAGGTTCTTGGATAAGATTTTTTAGGTGCAACTGTGGTTAAGAATCTCTGGAGTGCTCCGAGTATAAAACTGTTTTCAGATTTTTCTACCTTCTTTCGCTAGTGAGATAGCCTTGTGTCAGATAACAAAGTAGAGAAGCAGCATTTATGTCATCTTTCAAAGGTTTCTTAAAGTTGAAAACAGGACAAGGAACAGGGTTGATTCTAGAATGACAAAAGATCTCTTAAGGAAGGATGTGACCTGTAATCTTTACTATCCATTCTCTGGGACTGATAATTAACTGTTTCTCCTAGCAAAAAAAACTGTCCCAAATAATATCCTCTTCCTTGATCTTTGCGTTAAAGTTGAACTATGAGTATGTGGAAAAGTTCAAGAAAGAAATTTAAGGAAAGTGAGAAAAGCTGTATTAATGCTAAGGGCACATATTTTACGAATTAGCTTTGAATTTATTTCAGAAACTTCTTTGTTTTACCTTTTTCATTAAAAAAACCAAAACAAAAAAAAAAAAACAACAAAAAAAAAACAGACCAAACCAACCAACCAACCAACAGTACACTTGAGAAGAAATGTAGTTTTTCTTACTAGGCTGCAGAGAACCTGTTCTTGTGGAGCAATGATGACCTCTTGCGATCATCTGGTAAAGCTGCAGGTTTATCTCACGTATAAAGGACTTTGACTTTTTATTAAATTAGGGAGAGTCACAACACTGGCTGCAATGTTGTGACTCCAACTGTTCTTATACAAATCCTTTATTTAAGTGGGGAGTATGAGCTTAACTCTCAGGGAGTATACTTTTGCCTGTTTTCTAGAATTTCACTCATGTTGAGCTTAATGTTCTAAGCTGAAATGGGTGGGGGTTTATTAAAATCCATAAAAGTGAAACAAAAAAGGCAAATAAAGTTTGTGCAATTAAAGCTTTCTAGGTAAATGTTCCCATCAATCTGAATGTGTGCAACCCAAACGTTGTGACACTGTGTTAGTGTACAGGAAAGTACGTGTTTTCACTCTTACGCTGAGTGAAGTACAGAGACTGAACATTCTGCATCAGCTGGTGAAAAATGTATTTTAAAAATTATTTTCTTATAAATAATCTGTCATTCACATTGGCTAGTGTTCTTAATGGTACTTCATGTTCACAATTTTCCCTTATTGTTACAAAACTGTTCAGGTAAAAAGCTTGCATTATGTAAGTTGAAATTGTTTATGTTCAACCACGGTCTGAAAATTAAAAATCTTTGATTGGCTTGAAATGTGGGTCTGAGGAAGGAAACTACCTCTCTTTTTGTATAGCATCTGAATCATTGCTCGGCTTCTTTTCTGCCTCTGCTAGGTAATGCAGTATGCTGCAAAATGTGATATGTAACTAGCCCTCAGTGGCTGTGTACAGACCTAAGGTATGTCATTCTTCTTATGTGTTGCCAAAGTTAATATAAAATCCATAGTTTAAAGAATGGAAAGTCAATCTAATCTCAATATATCAGTGAAGGAGCACATCCAAACTTCTCAATAACCTTGGGAAGAAAGGCTCGATCAGAAGAAACATGCAGACAGACTTCATTACCATGAGATGTCACTGTAACTGAGAATATTGGAAAACTCAGAGACTGGACTGTGAGGTATTTCAGGGTACATCTTTCTGGTGGTTGATGATAGCACAATGGAAAGACCTTGTCCTTCAAGATTTAAGACAGTCATTTCCTGAAGGCAGTATAATATGAGCTGTAGGCCATGACGAAAGGAGAAATTGCCTCACATCAGCTTATCACAGGGCTTTTTGTACCTGCCAATGTATTTCCTTGTTTTGATTATTCAGGGGTGGGATGTTGATTCACATAGATTGTATGTCTGCTAAAATACATCCATTTCCAAGGTCCTATGCATAAATCACTGCCTTGAGTATCACAAAAAATAGACCACCTGAAGAAAGCACTTTTCTTCATGCAGAAATCACTCTGATATGCATGAAGGCAACTAAGATATTTCCTAAATACTGTGGAGATGTTCCGACTACCCATGGATTGCAGCACACCAAGTATGCTATATGTATATTTTCCACCTACTCTGGTTGCTCCATGGTCAGTGGGTACAATATTCTAGTAGTGTTACCTGTTATGTTGTCCAGGACTTAACAGTGTCCACATGACATCAGAAGGTCTGCTCCTAACCGGTGTCAGTGACAGACACCTGCACATTGTCCCTGCTTTTAGGTGGCCCACAGGTGTGGGACACAAATTACGGATTTTCATCTTTTGGTTTGATTTTGTTTTTTTTTTTATTCCCAGGAGTCAGTAGCATTCCAGTCCTGAAAGGCAGAGAAGTGTTGCACTATGGCTATTGCTCACATCTTGATTTAAAGTGCTGTGAGTAAATATTGGTCAAATCTCTGGGGTCGGCATTAAAAACAGAAGAGCAGCCTGAAGTAACTTAAATGAGCAGTCAGTTCCTCAGGGGGCTGACCCACAGCCACAGATTAAGAATGTCTATAGAGTGCTTTCTTGTACTGAGGGATTGGCTAGCTACCAGGTACCACATAATTGCCCTAAAAGTTAAATATATTTACAGAGGAAGTGGAGCATTTTCATTTTGGTGCACTTTTTCTTCTGCTTCAAGGTAGAAAAGGAAGATACAGATGATTCCTGCTCAAAGAGAAGACAATCATCCAGAAGACCTTTCAGCAACATGAAAGGTGCCGAATGAACCCCCAATCCTAAAAGATAATAATAACATTAAAAAAAAAAACAAAACAAACCAACCCAGAAAGTATAGCTATCTCTCTAAAAATTGTGCATACGTATGTCACCAATCATATGAACTTCCACCACTCTTAAGAGTGTAATGTAATGTTTCTCAGTCACTGCCTCTCTTCCCTTCGCTTTGCCCCTGCAAGGCAGACCCTGCCTTGCTCTGGATGGTGAAGAGAGGCTTCTTTTGCCTCAAGGTGGAGAGAAAGTCTCTGCTTTCTCTGACCACTTTGGAGCCCCTAACAGACTAAAGGGTTGAGAGCTTCCTGACAAATCATTTCAGCCTCTTGTCTTTCAAAAGCTTGCCTAAAATCTGATTTTCTAAAAGCTAGACTATGGAAAAGTTGACATTTGATAAATATAATATTTCTCTTAGACCTCCCTGGGCTATTTGGAAGCAAGCAAGGATATACGGAGAAAACTTATTATCTTATATGTGTCAGAACAGGTAGTTGCATTCAATTACTAAATCAAGCACTCCATGTAGGACCGAAGTGTTCAAGGTAAAGAAACCAGAACAAGGCTATACTAAGCCTAGACAGAAGAACCTTATTTTTTTCTAAATGCATGATATGCATTTATGTATACTTTTTGTCATCTACCTTTTGCTATTTTTTTATGATGTTTTATATAGTAAGCAGAAAATGATTTATAGTGGAAGTAACTTTTGCCTGTGTTCAAGGGTATCTTAGGAGTCAACTCCTAATTTATCAGCTATCTGACAAATTTCTACAAACTTACTTAGAAGACCAAAAATAAGTTTGTAAAGTTATAATGGAATATAAAACCCTATATAAATTCTTGAATGCTAACAAGCTGAAAAATTCCTTTTTTTTTAATATCTCATAAAACATGGACATGATCTCTGATGTTAAAAACAATATTAACAATTTAAATGTTAATAACATCATTAGCATTGTAGGAAATCAGAATAGGTGATCATAAGCGACCCTCTTATGGGAATCTTAATTAGTCTTTGCAATCTGTAACAAAAGCAACCAAACCCATGCTGACTCCAAAAAAGCCTTGTCTTCTCCCAAGGTGATGTTATTATGAACTGTAATATTGACTTCGTATGACAACAAAATTTTTAGTCTCCTCACAAAAAGAAGCTTTTAGACGAGATATTGACTAAGGCATATGCCAAATACAAATAAAGGTGCAATGTAATAAAGGGATTTGAGCAATTGGAGTTTAACTGCCAAACAATGATGTCATTGCAAACTGCTGTGCTCAATTCTATATGGAAACAAAAAAGCCCACATCAGAGATTAGAATTAGAACTTGATGAGCAAACTTCCTTGAATGACTTCTTTTGTTAAAAGTGCTTCTAAATCATTCATAAGTTCTTACCATGCATGGACCATTTCTCTGTCTCTCTAATTGTAGTGATAAACACTTTATAAATATATGAGATAAGAAGATAATGCAAAGTGTAGGGCTATTATCTAAAATCTAAAAGCAATGTCTGAAATATTTGAGTGATTAATTCAGAACACTGAAAGACTAGCCATATAGGATGACAGATCTAAAGCATAAAGAGGATGAGAAGTGGCAATAGCCCAAAATTAATAAAATCCATCTGAGCTCTATCAAATTTTTAAGTAACAACTATGTGTATTTCTTTCTTTAACTATCAAATGTTTTCAAAGTCTTCATAGGCTGTAGTCTGAGTCGTGGTTCAGGAAACAATAAACCTTCCACTTAATTTAAAGAGAGATCTAATGAAGGAAGTAAGAAAATGAGGGAGGGAAATCCTGGGCTCTCACGTTCTTCATGTGCTTGGCATCCCTAGGATTCAGTGCAATTTTCACTCAAACCTGTGGTAAAAATGAGATTTGAAGAGGAATTTTACTATCTACCTACAAAAGTCCTTCCTTTGAACAGTAGCACTGCTTCTAAGAACCTGTTCAGTCACAGATTTGAGCATCAAACTCTAATAGTATATGCAAGAACATCATAAAATATGCTTATTGTGACACAGCTACACAGCATTTGGGTCATAACCTGTAAAAAATTGGAAATCTGGATGTACTGAGCTTATAAAACTGTCTGCGACAGCACCATCTGGTGTCTTCCAGTAATACTATTTATGCTATTTTTAGAGGAGGGAAAGGGAAGAAATACCCTGTCAACTTGTGAAGTTAAGTTTGGATATAGACAAAGGGGATTTCTTGGATCATCTCGTCCAAAACATGCTATTGCATGCAATCATTTAATAATTCCTTCACATCAGTTTATCATGTCATTTTTAATTCCAGTTAAATAACTAGAAAATTTCACAGTTATGTTAATTAAGAACTTTCCTCTTTTTTGTGTGTGTGTATTTGTTCATATATGATCAACTTGCAGTCCTTTTCTTAAGTGCCAAATCCTAAAATGCTGTTTTCCTTTCTCTGCATTTAGGCTTTCCAATATACTGACAGAGAGCCACCATATCCCCTTTGGCCTTCCCCTTTTTGCCAAGCTTTTAACTTTTTTATAACTAATCCCTCATTCCCTCACTGTCCTAGATGTACTTTTCTTCATTTTCTACAAGTGCAGATCCTCTTATGCTCAACTCGAGGTGGGCTTTCTTGCAGCCTCTTGTGTGAGATGATTTGTATGTCACCCCATTGCTGCCAATCCTGCATGCACATGCATTTTAAGGGCGCATTTGAAGGTGTGTCTGTGTGTACATGTGTTAATGGGATCTTCAGTGCATTGACATTTTCGTGAACCAGTATCCTAACCAATGAGCTTCCAGTTAAGAGTAGAAATATGCATTTTTAGTCCATCAGTTCATGGCCTGGCATTATGCGCTATTGAATTTCATCACATCTCCCTCAGTCAGATCAATAAGGTTCTCCTGTATTTTGTACGTGCTTTTCTCTTTATTGCCGATGGCACCTTGTTTTATGTCATCAATGAATTTTCCATTTTGTTTGTATACACTATGGCCATTAATGATCATGTTAAATATGATCAATTGCAGGAATCTCTCTTGGAAAACCTCCATTAGTAATCTCACCCATCTGTTTTCAGCAGAATGTATTACTATTTTCCATTTGGCCAAACGTCTGTATTTGCCACCTGCATGGCACTGTATAAATGCTCTCAAGCAGGATCAGGAATGTTCACATATGTCTGAATTGGGCCATATAAACGTTCCCACTATTATGCTAGGTATGTCTGTTTTTCACTATTATTTCAGAGGCTTGTTGCTGGAAGTCTTGACAAACATCAGCATCTCCGTGTCACTGGGCACA